AGAAGCCTAATAAGGCGCCTTTAACTCTGGAAAAGCATACTATATGCTGGGCAAGGCCTTGCTTCCCCACTCGCCAGAAGCATTACTGAACACCTTCTGCCATGAAGCAAGTCCAGCACAAACAAACTGCTGAGTCAACTTCCCCCCTGGGAGATTTCCTGTCAGAGATCAGGCAGCATTCTAATGCATGTTGGCAAAAAAAAAAAAGTATTTCATTATTGCCCCACAATTTGCTCCACGAACAAATCCGGTCATTAGTAGAACTTTAAAAAATTCTGCACATAGCCACAATTTTCTACATTCAGGTTTAACATCCAGCAACAGCAACCAACCTGTGTGTGTTCTGACGTGAGCCTTCAAATGGGAGCTCTTGAAGTACGTCTTCCCACATCCTGGGTAACTGCAAATGTGACTTCTTATTCTTGAAGAATCAACTGGAGGAGTGGGTTTTGCTGCAGAAGGTAGGAGGCCGGGAGCAGGGGCAATGGGAGAGAGTCTCGTGCCATTCGGACTAACAACGGGAGCCTTTGTGTTCTGCACAACTGGCTGGGGCACAACAAACATCACAGCACCTTTGGGAACTTGGGTGCCCATGAAGACCATGGGCTGACAGAGAGATGGCGGCTGGCTTGGTGTGGTGGTGGGCACTACGGCCGTCACGACATTGTTGCTTGCGGGCAGCGGGACCATCTGGCAAATCACTGGCACAGGGGGAGCCCCACCGCCCTGGGCAGGGCATGGCGGTGCCAGCGCCGCTGACTGCTGTGCCGATCCCGGGATAGGCTGACGGCTGCTGACTGAGGGCTTCGTCAAGGGCACTGGACTGATAGCTGGCTCTGCGGTCTTTCCTTCTGTCACCGGCAGTTCACCGCTTTCATTGCTGGCTCTGCTCGGCACCACGGCGGAACACACCGGATGTTCTGCTTCGGCCTTTTGTTTACCGTTCTCTTCCCTCGAAACACTGTCCTGGTATTTCAGCACGCTGGCGGTTCTCACCGGGCAGGTTTTGCGATTACAAAGCTGGGCATCAGCCGTGTGGCGGATAACGCTCGTTGCTTGAGCTTTCAGAGGTCCAGCTGCTGGAGGCCTCTCCACCTCTCTCCGAGGTACAGCCACAGGAGGCTTGGCAGCCTCTGCCAGCGACTTGCTGAGCGCCGGTGTTGCCGGATGGACCACCTGTGACATCTCGAAGTCAGAAGGACTATAGGGAGGGGTCAGGCACTATGCAGGGAGAGAGACACAGTAAGTTACCAATGCATCACCACACGTTAAAAACAAGCACACACAAGTACAAATTCAAAAACTTACAAATGCTGGTATCGTGCTGAAGTCCACTGCTCCGGGAAGCAAAGTCTCGTCACTCTCTTCTGACATATCAGATGCTGGAGTTATAGGTCTCATTTCTACATGTTTTTTCAAGTCTGATTTCCAGTTGCAACTCATAGAAATCAGGGCTTCTACAGCCTCATAATCGCTTTTTTCAGTACTGTTCCAGAAATACCTAGTATCTCTCTGTTTCTCAGTCATCATCTCCATTTCTTCCTCCTGTTTCAGAGGAAAAAAAGGAAACTTTAAACCTCATGCTAAGCCGGAATATTTTGCAGTTACTTATAAGGCGGCATCGTAAAAAACAAACAAAGCAACCTATGCAAGATAAATACACTGGGTCATGTGGGGGGGATGCCCGTATTTTCCTGCCCTCTTTCTTATTTAGACTATTTTTATGAAGGTGTTAGTGGGGAAATCTGGTCATCTGGTGAAGGTTATATATTTTGTTGAGACAAAAGAACTCTCCCAAAATCTTAAGCAACAGTTTAAGTTATTCCATATTGCAAGTCTTGTGTCTGAAAGCTCAAAAAAAAAATCTTCACAAGAAAACCCAAAACTTCCTCCCGCACCCCACACCCCTTCCACTCTTACTTTAAACAAAGCCCTCAGTATTGTGCTTATTTTGACACGAGAAAGGACCATATCGGGACTGACACACATGTTCTTCAAAAGGTATTAACTACCAAAAATGTTCCAGAAAATACTCAAAAGGTCTCTCTCACATACACGCACGTAGGCAAGGAAAATCGCCAAGATGAAGAACTAAAACGTATATACGCATTTTCACCATCTAACCGATCACCTCTCAGAACCAACCCACGCAAAAAGCCTCCTCGGCTGCATATGCCACGAATATCCCTAGCACAGCTTTCGATTTCACAGGAGGGTCCCCGCCGCTGCTGGCGAATTCCTCCGCCCCGAAGAGATGGTGTGGGTGGAAAAGCCTCCCTTCTGTCAGCCGCGTCTCCAGGGAGTTGGAATCACGGGTGAGATACATTTTTTTAAGGAGACCTGGCCACCCCTGGGCGGCGGGGGCGGTAGACCAGCCCCGCT